CAGGGGAGGCCGGCATGGCGGTCTTGCAAACTCAGACCTAAAGTCACCAAAAAGGATGGTCTGAAATTCAACTTTAATTAAAAGCAGTGATGGTGGGTAGTCACATCCTAGGCCGGCCTCTTCCCTGACAAGGTCAATCTTTACCTTAACTGAGGCTATTGTCTTTTTGCTCTACGATAAGGTACCGTTGAAATGTCAGGGTAACTTGTAACTCCCTTTTTTTCTGGACCCCTCAGGGCACAACCAAATGCCCTGGGTACCAGGACAGATACAAAAAAATTCCTTCATTTAGAGTGTACAGGTTCATTTTTTAAAAATATATTAATAGGTGTTCAATAATTGTTCAAACATCATCAGAATCTGAGATATTTTCATCTCCCCTCAAAAGAAACTTTGTACCCATTAGCATTCCTGTCTCTATCCCTCATGGCTCCTTATATCAGGCATATCGATCTCGTCTCCCCAACCAGACTGGACTTCTCAACCCCTTATCTTTTGTTCTCTTCTCTGATTCCCTATTCTGATCTTCCCTCGGGGCTGTGGCTGATTGGGTCCCCCTCACCTGTGTTAGATGGGGTACTGAGGAGTCTGGGAGAGCACTAGACTTGGTGGTTTCCTTAGTGCTCCTGGTTAGGTTGCAGACCTGTAAGTTACAAACAACTCACCATTCCCTGAGCCAGACGGAACTGTTCTCCCTTTGTTCCTTGACAGGAAGGGCCCAAAAACGGTCATGCTGAATAGCTGGACAGTTTGAGCTTCCTCCAGTGCCCAGGAGAAATCAGTTGACTTACCACTGCTTTTTTGTTATTAATCCTCACCTGAGAATATGTTTCCATTTTAGAGAGAGAGGGAAGGAGAAGAGACTGACAGAAACACTGATGTGAGATAAGTCAATTGGTTGCCTCCCGCACCATTCCCTGACCAGGACCAAGGTCGGAGTCTGCAACTGAAGTAAGTATCCTTGACCAGGATAGAACCTGGGACCCTTTGGTACTGAGCCAAACCAGCTAAAGCTTAACCACCACACTGTTGAGGTAAAGTTTACCACTGGCTAGGACATCTCTGAATGTCCCTGATGGCGGTGTCTGAAAGCCTAAGGAGAAAAACAGAAATGGGACATGGTATTGGAGGAAGACTTTCTACACTTTTCTGATGCTTTTTTGGGGGGGGAGGGGAGGCAGAAGAAACCATATGAACACTCTTGGACTTTCTCCACTCTGGCTTTCACTCCCTGCACACCGTGCCTCCCCCGCCTTATCCCCTCTGCCAGGGTGCAGAGAGCATTTACTTGGATCGGCTTTCTCTAAGTTTTACAGGGGCACATTCCCATGAGTGAGAGGCCTATGGCTTTCCACTGGTAATTAGGGTGGGAAGGTGAGTCAGTCTAATTCTGAATTTCCCTGTTAGGAAGCCGATTGTGGTTGCAAACCTAAGCCCTATAGGCCAATACGGTCTTTATCAATTATAAAGGTGAGTTTTGCCATTTGCCTCATTTCTCATAATCACTGTTCAGAACCTGAATGAGGAAAAGAAACCTATATGCACTCAGGTGGGAAAATAGGAGGTGTTACGTTCTGACCACTTAAATCCCATAAACCCTGGGAGTTATGATGGCTGCCTTTATGTGTCAACTTGACTGGACTAAGGGGTGCCCAGAAGCTGGTAAACATTTTTTTTAATTTTTTAAAATTTATTCAGGAGTTACATATGTGTCCTTATTCCCCCATTACCCTCCTCATCTTCCCTCCACACACATGCCTTCAACCCCCTGTTGTCTGTGTCCATTGGTTAGGCTTATTTGCATGCATATAAGTCCTTTGGTTGATTTCTCAGTAAACATTATTTCTGAGTCCGTCTATAAGGATATTTCCACAAAATATCAGCATTTGAGTCAGTAGACTGAATAACAAGATAACCCTCACCACTGCGAGTGGGTACCCCCCAATCTGTTGAGGGTCTTAATAGTACAGAAAGGTGGAAGGACGAGTCTGTTCTCCGCCTGAGTTGGGACGTCATCTTTTCCTGCCCTTGGACATCAGTGCTCATGGTTCTCAGGCCTTCAGCCTTGGGCTGGATTATACCAGCTGGGCTTTCCTGAATCTCCAGCTTGAAGATTGCAGGTCCTGAGATTTCTGAGCCTCCATAATTGCATGAGTCAATCTTGTAAAACACACATACACACACTCATATGTGTACTATTGGGTCTGTTTCTCCGGAGAGTCCTGACTACTACATGCATGTTCTCATTACTACTGTAGCAGGGTCTCAAGAGCCTCCCAGCTTTCAGCATCTCTCCTGCCTTGTTTATGGAGAGCATTTAGTTTAAATTTCTAATATGGAAAAGAGGAAATTAAAATTTAATGAGGTTTTGTTAAAACACCATCCTTGGTGCTTTGACATGTTATTTGAAACAATAATTCAAATCCTGGCTAGTAGCTCAGCTGGTTAGAGTTTCATCATGATACACCAAGGTTGTGGGTTTGGTCCCGGGTCAGAGCACATATATGAAGCAACCAACGAACGCATAAATAAATGGAACAAATAAATGTTTCTCTCTTTCTAAAAATAAATAAATAAATAAATAAATAAATAAATAAATAACTCGAGATAGTAACAGCAATAATTTATTACATTATTTCTTCTTTACGTCAGCTACTGGGCTAAGAGCTACACCTGCATCAGCTGGCTTAATCCTCTCAGGCAACTAAGCCTCAAAGAGGCTGAATAAGGAGGTCATACAGACATTGGTTCTAGAACCAGCTATCTAACTTTAGATTAAAAAAAAAAAATCAACCCACTGCTCTTTTTATTCCAATTTAATACTATTACATCTTTCAGAAACCTCGAGTAATTATGAATTTATTTTTCATCAGTACAAACTATTTGTAGGGGCTTGTAATTCCCTTTACTGATTACCTCCTCAATTACTCCAGCAGTGTTTACACGAGGGGGGTTAACTTGACTTCCAAACAACACTTGGCACTGCTATCTTTCTCTTTCCTACCCCTGAAGAGTTCCTTTCATTTGCAACACCTGCCACTTACTGAGCATCTATTTTGCAAAAGAGACTGAGTCAGGGGCTCTGGGAGAAGCCATATAAAAGAGAGTGAAAGCTGGGGAGCTGTATGATAGCATGTGGTGGGGTTGTCAGGTTGAGGCAGTGACAATACCATGGGCCTCAGGAGTGTAGTCACACTTGAAGGAATAAGGTAGTAAATCAAATATGTATCGAGTGTTAAGATTCAAAGATTATTTCCAGGCATGTGTACAGGTGCACAGCACCTCACTTAATGTCCAGGAGCCAGTGTTCCTCCCTCATGCTGTGTTCTGGGCACATTCCTGATGACCCGAGTACTTGCTTTCCTTCAGAGTCTCAGTCTGTCTGTCACTCTCCTCCCCCAACTCCTATGTTTGTATTGTCTGTCTAATAGCCCTTTCTCTTCAGTACAGAAATATTATTATTAGTAATAACATACTGAACACTTACTTTATGTCAGGACAGATACCATATGTGGCAGGCTGTGTAATGGCTCCCCACTGATGTTCCATCCTAGTCCACAAAACCTGTGGATGTATCTTACATGGTAAAAGGGACTTTGCAGATACGATTAAGTTATGGATTTTTAAGTGGGGAAATTATACTTGATTATCTGAATAGGCTACATGTAATCAGAAGGATACTTTGACGAGTCAGGCAGAAGGCAATGCGACAACATCAGCGGGAAAGAGAGAGAGACTGGAAGATGCTACACTGAAGACCAGGAAGGGGTCACAATCCAATGAATACAGGCTGTTCATCCTCCTTCCTGTTTCCACGAACCTGATACACATTAAAGCTCCCAGAGCCCTCACATATGTTAACGGCAGTTTGTTGACAGATGAATGGATGTCACATTCAGAGGCTCTAGTGCAGTAGTGGTAGAAGCCATACTTTCCCTTGAATTTAAGTCAAATAGCGGAAAGGGAACTCTTACTGGGCAGAGTTAAACTTTTAATCACCTGGGAAAGGGGCCTGGGCTTGTGAGGCCTGGAGCTAAGAGTTCAGGGTAACACTCTATCCTGAATTATCTCACAATTTCCTCTCTTGCAAATGCTTACAGGGTAGACTGATCAAGTAAAACGAATTTATAAAAGCACAGATTCTAACACAGCCCTTCAGCTCCTTCCAAATAACCTGATCTGTGGAGCTCAGCAGTTCTCAGGAAGAGGGGAAGCAGGGACAATGGCAATTTCAGCAGGACCCTCCTCGGCTTTGTTTGCAAATCACAGACTCTTACCCAAAACCATAGGAATCATTTGTTATGTACTTATCCAACAAATACTGAGTGTTTTCTGTGTGTGAGGCACTAGGAGTACAGAGGTGAGTCAGTCAAGCTGACATTGTTCAAGCCCTTGTGGGACTTAGTCTCATGGGAAGACAGACTATTAAGAATCACTTAGAAGATAATGTGGTAGGTGCTATGATAAGGAAGGCACCAGGAGCTTGAGAACTGATAGGTAAGGCTTGGCAGAGTTAGGATTTCTTTCTGGTAGTGATATCTACATAGATACCTAAAAGATGAGGAGCTGGTCACAGAAAAAGGAACAAGAAGTGTCAAGGTGTGTGACAAAGGAGAGAACATGTGTTTTGCAGGATGGTAAGTAGGACTCATCTGGTACCCTGGAATTGTCAGGACACCAATCTGAGAGGTACCATCAACAGCTGGCAAGCCAGTTCTGCTGTCCCAAACCATATTCCATCTTCTACCTCCATAGAAAATAAACAGGAGATGGTGTGGATGTGAAAACAGAAGGGGGACTGATGAGGTCATGTGTCTGTCACCAGTTAAGGGATCAAGTGCTATGCATATGTCCTCACTTCCAAGTGAGGGGTCTCCAACAGAACCCCTCACAGAGGAGAGGCTGACATCTCAGTTCTTGCTCAGACGAGCTTGTTGATTTGTTCTCTGTGATCACTGGAGCAAGGGGCGAGGGTAATAGTTCTAACAGATCGTCTTCAAAAATCAAGTTGGTGACTTCACTGATGTTTTTACAATCAGGTGGTAGAACTGTAGCCCCAGAATTCCCTTCAAATTTTTCCAAATTAGGTTGAAAGTCCTCTTTGGACCAATCATTATCTCAGCAACCAAGATGCAAATTACACTCAAAACCATGTGTGGAATTGTTCAAATTTTCAGGTTCGGAATCACTTGAAACTACTACTTTTTGCCTTTTTGAAGGAATAACTATATCACTGCCACTGTCAAAGCTTTCATCACTTTCACTTGGAGTATCTGATAAATTGTCGGCAAATATATCTAGAATTTTACCATGTTCTTCGTCACTGTCCATGGTTACTGAGCACTTTAAAAATGTCAAATTGATATAAAAAAGTTATTTTTGTTACAAACAACAAGAGATGAATAACTTTTAATTCCCTTTTGTAATTTTTAACTTCAGCGAATGTGTTTTCTCTTACACTGTTTCTCTCTAAAGGACAACAAAGAGCCGAGAATTCTAGTGATTCGCCACAAGACTTAGAGAATTCTCATTGCTCCGTAAGCAATGTGTTAAGGGACCTGCTCAACCTCCCACAGCTGCTTTGTTAAAGGGCTATTACCCAAGATAGATACAATGCCTTGCACACAGAAATGCAGGCTAGCGCCCGGGGACCGGCGGTCTGGGCCTTTCTCAAGGTGGGCGCGTGCTCCACGGCGGAGGCCCACCACAGGGCGTGGGGAAGTGCATTATAATTTATACTTAAAATTCAAGGCCATGGAGGTGGGGAGGTGGGGCGGCGGGGAGGGGTGCGCATGCGCCACAGGTTGGCCTCGGAAATGGGGGGCGGGAAAAGCCCGACGGGTGGGTTGGCTTTCCAACCGCTGCCAGTCCACTTTCCGTTGGTGGGACCTATGCCATGCAGACCCTTCCCCAGGCGTGGGGCCGATGCCTCACCGTCTCGCAGCGAAACTGCACCGTTAGAGTCTCTGAGGAGCAAAGGGAAGCGCCGCACGGACCGGAAGCGCCCATCTTTCCTGGGGCTTTTCCGGGGCAGAGGGCTTTGGCAAAGCTCATTGGCTAGTGGAGACCGAAAGAGGTTGGGTTTGGCTGCGCGCGGGGCACCATGGGTGTTGTGGTTTGCGGCTGTGGTGCAGACCTTCCTGGCAGCTTGGAGGCCAGCAGGTCACAGCTGCGTCCCTGTGGCTTTGTTTTGCTGTTTCTGTTTCGGGCGAGACCTCCGTCTTTGAGTCTTGCTTTTGAAGACCTTCATTTCGTCCTATATCTTAGGCTTTCCTCTATACAACACCCCTTGTCAACCTACAGACCCTTCTTTATTCTTCCTAGCTGGCTTCGCCTAGTCTTAGGTTCCTCTTCTCCGCAAACTTACACCAGTCTCTGAGTCCTCCACCCTTCTTTCGCTCCTGTGTGCCTTTTCCTGTCGCCGCCCTGGTCAGATCCCTTCTAACATTCTGCCCCAGCCCATGAATAATGCCAGGGGCCCAGGAAAAGGATTCCATGAAAAGGATCCCACGGCAAACGTTTGCAAGCACAAGCAGACCCCACTCTCCCACTTCAGCTGCCTTGTGGCTTAACTTCTTTTTGTTCTCCTCTGGTCACTGACCCTTGTCTGGTCCCACCTCTATGTAGCCTGTTTGATGGGCCACTTCTGGCTATGAACAGTCACCTTTGGTCCTGTCACTTTGTCTCTGGCTTCCCATAGTTGGGTAAACAAAAACCTGGTTTGATTTATAGGACAGAAAGGGGGAAATGAAAGAAACTGGAGTGAAAAAAAAAAAAGAGAAACTACTAATTAGGTTTCCTAGAAGTCATGATAAAAGAGGAGGAAGAGAGCAAATCTTTTCTCCTTGTACAATACCTTCCCAAACTGTTTGGTGTTGACTGTTGGAGGGCTCTGTGAACTTAGTGCTGGGGGTAACTAGCCCCAAGTCACCCAGATGCTGGGGGCCCAGTCAGTGAGGACAGTCATACAGGTAAGCAACAGTGCAAGAGGGCATCAGGCTCTGCCCTGCAGACTTCCTGTCGTTCCTCTGCTCATTCCCATTTCTCCCTCAGCTCATTCCAAAGTCTTTTGCCTTTTTACCTCTCCCGCTGTTCCATGCTCTTCTTCCCACTCGGAAGCTCCTTTTGCTCCTGTTCCAGCCCAAGCCGTTCCTTTTGTATTTATTGTAGCTTTGTCACTCTGACAACCATGTGGATAGGGGATTTAGAAATGGAGTGCTCCACACTTGACCTTCACCTTTATGTATGTGAGAAATGCTTATTAACTTTCTCATTCCAGGCTCTGCATTCTCTCAACATTTGTGCACATTACTTGTATTCGAATCACCTGCAGACCTTTCATGCTCCATGCTCCAGAATTATGCTATGCCATGCAGCCCCAATGGACTTAATTCATCTGCTGCCTATTTAGTGGTGTTAGAAATCTTAGATTTGAGAAGTTAATTTCATGGAGACAGTAGTGAAGAAGGACCCATTCATATGTGGCCAGAAGTAGAATCCTATGCAAATGGGGAAGATATACCTTATCATTAAACAAACAAACAAAAACAACAAAAATGCCTTAGTGAATTAACTAGGCTAGAACAGGAGATACTTTTTAACTGTTAATTGAGAAAACCCCATCCCCCAGTGTGTGTGAGAAGGAATTTCCAAAGAATAAATAATCTAATAATCATGCTAGTTAGCTTGAGAATGTTTTACAATGTCTGTGTGAGGTAGATTTACCTCTGAGGTTCTTTATGGCTAATACTAACTTCATTGGCATTTCCTGAGACCCACCGCAAAGAAGGGAAACTTCATATTTGATGATGCTTAAGATAATGCCTCTCTAAGCTTGTCCTATGTGATCCGATCCCCAGCTACTTCTCTAATCTCACCTCCGACCCTCTTCCTTACCGTTATTGCTGTAGCTACCATGGTTTTATTGCTGTTTTGTGAACATGCCAAGTACATACTTTGCGCCTGGAATACTTTTTTTTAGGTAGACCTGTTCAGGGCTTCACTCAAATAGTCATCAGAGAGGCCTTCTCTGACCACCTTATTTAATATAGAGCCTTTAACAGGCTGTCCCTTTGTCTTCCTTAATTTCCCTCTATTTTAAAAAAATATATTTTATTGATTTTTTTTTTTTTTTTTTTTTTTTTTTTAGAGAGAGAGGAAGAGAGAGGGATAGAGAGTAAGAAACATCGATGAGAGAGAATCATCCATCAGCTGCCTTTTGCACACACCTCCCCTCTCCCTCCCCTCACTGGGGATGTGCCTGTAACCATGGTACATGCCCTTGGCCAGAATCGAACCTGGGACTTTTCAGTTCACAGGCCGACACTCTATTCACTGAGCCAAACGGGTTTCAGCTTAATTTTCCTCTATTATCACTACTTGAAAATATATTTGTTTACTTCTTTTTATTGATTTTTTTTTTTTTTGGAGAGAGAGAGAGAGAGAGAGAGAGAGATCCATTTGTTGTTCCACTTATTTATGCTTTCATTGGTTGCTTCTTGTATGTGATTAGAGATCAAATCTGCAACCTTGATGTATCGGGATGATGCTCTAACCCAGTGTTTCCCAACCTTCTCTCATGATGAGAATCACCTGGTGGAGTTGTTAACACACAGATTCCTGAATTCCAACTAAGAAGTGCTAAACTAGAATTTTTGGGAACATATAGGTAAAATTGTATACTTAACTAGTGCTCTAAGACAGATTTTATATACAGAGCACTAAGTTAGGTATGCAATTTTACCTATATGTTCTCAAAAATTCTAGTTTAGCACTTCTTAGTTGGGATTCAGGAATCTGTGGTTTAACAACTCCACCAGGTGATTCTCATCATGAGAGAAGGTTGGGAAACACTGCCAACTAGGCCACCTGGCCAGGGCTATTTAAGCATATTTTATTAAACTGCAGCCAAGCAAAAGTTCATAAGTCTAAATAGCTAGGAGCAACTCTTGTGTATTTGGGACGAAGGATTATTTGTCCTACTTGACATACTTCTGAACTGACTTCTGTGCTACTCTTTTGGGTCCGGGCCCTCTTTCCCTCCACGTCCTTGTGACCAGGCAAGGGGCACAGAAACATCAAAGAAAATATTGAGGACAGAAAATACTTTCTTAGCCCATCAAGAAGTATGATTATACATGTTGACATTATACTATTTTACCAGGAAAAAGAAGTAGACAATTTGGAAGATGGACTGTAGGTGGCAGTTTTGTTTCATTTGAAGAAATTGGTTGGTCAGCTATGAATATGTCTCTGTCAGCATCTACTCCCCACATCCACTTAGTTGGATTCAACCTCCTCTACTTGGCTCAGACATCACCCTGTCATTTTTTCAGTTAAGCTCTCCCTCTCATGTTCTCATATGTGTGATTTTAATATTATGGCCTCAGCTTGAAGCAACATTTTAAAAAATCATTAATTAAAAAAATTAAATGTATTGAGGTGACAGTGATTAATAGCGTTATATAAGTTTCAGTTGTACAAGTCTATAATGCATCATTGATAGATTGCATTGTGGGCTCACCACCCATAGCCTAGTTTTCTGTCACCATAGATTTGACCCCCTTTATCCTCTTCAGATTCCCCCAACCCCTTTCCCTCTGGTAATCACCATACTGTTATCTGTGTATATGAGGTTTTTTTTGGTATATTTGTTGCTTTCTGTTTTATAGCTCCTATATGAGGGAAATCATGGTTCTTGTACTTTTTCATCTGACTTACTTTGCTTAACATGATACTCTTAAGATCTATTTATTTTGTTGCAGTAATTATCTTTTATTATGGCTGGTAGTAATTATATATATATCATATATATATCCTATATATATATATATATATATATAGGATATAATAAAAAGCTAATATCCAAATCAACTGAAAGGTGGAATGACAGGTCCCTATGACATGCACTGACCAGCAGCAGGGAAGACACTCAATGCAGGAGCTGCCCCCTGGTGGTCAGTACAGTCCCACAGGGGGAGCACTGCCCAGCAGAAGCCCTGAGCCGGGCTCACTGCTGACAAATGCAGCAATGGTGGTGGGAACCTCTCCCGCCTCCACAGCAACACTAAGGATGTCTGACTGACTGCTTAGGCCCACTCCCAGCAGGCCTAAGCCATCAGTATCCCCTGAGGGATCCCAGACTGTGAGATGGTGCAGGCCAGGCTGATGGACACCCCCCCCCCCCCCGCCCCGCCAAGTGCACGAATTTCATGCCCCTGGCCATATATATATATATATATATATATATATTATATCTCCAATCATCCATCAAAGGAAACTTAGATTGTTTTCATATCTTGGCTACTGTGAATAATGCTTCAATGAACATGGGGCTAAATATATATTGGGATATTTATACCCAGAAGGGGGATTGCTGGGTCCTGTGTTAACTCTATTTTTACTTTTTTGAGGACTTTCCATACTATTTCCCTTAGTGGTTGTAACAATTTATATTCCCACTAGCAGTGTGTGAGGGTCCTTTTTCTCAACACCAAGCATGTCAAACTCAAAGGCTAACACGGACCAAATAAACAAGGCTTGAGTTTATGTAGGCCTCAAAAAAACAAAAGCTCCAATTTCCATAGGAACGTAGGTTTATTTTGATAGAGACATGCTGAATACAAAGGGCTGTGGGTGAGCCTGGCCGGACACACTCTGGAGCCAACCACCCGTGATCCCTCCCCTGCCAGCCACACTTGGGGCTATGCCAGGGCTCGAAGGGCATCTGCCCAGTGAGCAGGGTCCCTCTAGCAGGTGGGCTCCCTCGGCCTGGCCTGTGGGATAAGGCTGAACCCGGCAGTCCAGCATCCCCTGAGGGGTCCCGGAGTGCGAGAGGGCACTATGCAAAGTTGCTGTTCCTTGGCAGCTCCTGTGTTGAGCATTTGCCCTTAGTGGTCAGTGCACATCATAGCTACTGGCCAGTTGCTTAGGCTTTTATATATATATATATATATATAGACTAGAGGCCCAATGCACAAAATTCCTGTACTGGCAGGGGTGGGTGGGTGGGAATCCCTCAGCCTGGCC